GCTAAAAATTGCGAGAACGTTTTCAGAGCGTTTAATCTCATTCGGAAAATGGGTCAAGTTCATGCACCTTGTTCGGTTGTGTGTTTATTGGTGTTGTATGTTCATTCGCGTCGTTCGCCATTGCATTTATACACACAATCACTCACACGGCGACACACACTTGTGTTCGTCGGCAAACATATACTCTTGCTCTTTCATCGCTTATAGCGGAGTCAAGAATACTAGATATATTTGCATTTGACATTTAAAATTGGTGCTGTTTTTATCGCACGTGGGTATTTTATTATGCATGTCGTTTGTGTCATGTAAACAGCGCACCCAACACTCAGTTTCATTCACCATCTACCCATCTCTTTCGGGATTATGAGCGTCGCACATATTCAGACTTTTGCGGTAACGGCAACAGTATACGCTGTTTCATTATTTAATCATTATATATATATATATATAAATTCTCGCTCGCACCAACCAATTGATTCGGTGCGGCTCCGGAATACAGTTTAAATTGAATCGCATACGAAATGCTTCGAATGCATATTAGACGTAATGATTAAGCAAAAAAAGAAGAAAAGAAACCAAAAATCATGCATTCAATGAGCATTCGATGACGCAGTCTTATCCTTCTGTTTCTTTTATCTCATAGTTCGTCTTCTTTAAATATAGCCCGATTCTTATCTCGAACAAAAACTGAAGTAAACGCATTTTATTGTCAAGATTGAACATAATTTCACCCTATATCCGAACAGGCATTTAAATTATGCAAGTGTACTCAACCGATTCGGGCGACATTGACTGGTAAATATTTATAGCATTTTAAAAGTTGATCTACGCATATAAAAATTATAGTACACAAATCGAGACCGAATCGTATATATTCTATAGTGAGAAACGAGATTTGTTCAGAACCAGCTTCGAAAAATGCAATGTATGCCATGCAATTAACGGAGTATCGGAGAGACCGAGAGCGAGAGAGAGAGAGAGAAAATAATAATCATAAAGCAGTTGCCATTTCAAGACCCTGACAGACCACAAAATACAACGAGCTTTAAATGGAATTGTTCCTTCCGATCCGGGCTATAAGTAACTGAAAAACAACAAAATGTGCATTTTTATAAATCATTTGGTGACAATAAACAAAACGTTGCAAGCAATATGGAGATATTTAGACGGGAAGAAAGAGAGATCGAGCAAGCTACCGAACAAGATAGAAAGAGAAAAAGCAACAAAAGGAAAAATGAAAATGAAGAAAGAGAGAGAGAGAGAAATCTTGCATCCATTTAAGTATCTAATGATGCCGCCGAACTGAGAAATGAAAAATAAAAATGATTGTGCGTTCGTGCTCGATCATCAACAAATCCACACATAAACAAATCTTTAAGGTTATCGAACACACACCGCAATTTAAACAAAAAAAGCAATAATTAATGCTCGTCAAAATACTTATAGTTAAATGAGTACTGCTTGTTTTCGTGTTGTGCGGTTTTTTTTGCTCATTCGATTCGGAACTGAACAAAAATAGCACGAACGAGAGACGGCATCACGTCGCTCGGGAAAGTAAGAGAGAAGGCATAAAACGGAAGTTAAGTTATGATGATTTGCCACAGAAAACGCTAAGAGAATGACCTTATACTATTCACTTTGTAAATAGACACAACAACGCACAATGAATACAAAACAAAAACAGAATAACAAGAGAGCGAAAAAAAAATGAATCGAGTGAGTACGGGAAAAACACAATATTGATTAAATTAAATGTGCCAAATCGGAAGCAAACAGAAATAGAATTGTAGCTTACGCTCAGCTATTGCTCTACTGTCTATAATAACGTGTATGAAACATTGTGTGCGCTTTTCTCTCATTCAATAAACATAGCTTTTTGTGTTGTATAACGCCTCTTTTTAAACTTGACACTCAGTTCCTGGTTTTACTAAACCACATTTAACTATGCGGAACTAGAATTTTGTGTACGTTTCGTTTCTCTTTTTTTGTGCTCAATCTCATCGATGTTGTTTACATTTTTATTTATCTCAGTTATAAATCACATTCTCATTTTGAATAATAACATTTTTACCGAGATTTATTTTGAATCGTCTCTTTTCCGAACAAAGCTCATCATTCATCTTGATCAAGCGACAAGAGTTTTTCATTGTTTTTATGTTCCTTAATTTTATTTTGCTTACGAAGGACTTTCGATAACAAAGCGTTATAACGCAAAACAACTATTCTAGGAGAATGATCAAACAAGATACTTTCATCATTTATTCAAATGCATGTGAATCGAATCACCATTTCGAAAAAGGATTTGAATTTATAGGAAAATTTCATCTCAATGATATTGAATTTATCGATTTGTTATTTATCATTTCTATCAATATTTTTGCAAAAAAAAACAACAAACGTTGACTTGATATCTTTCTACTCGATCCAAGGTGAATATAAATTAATTCAAAAGTACTATTCTATTACGTACAGTCAAATAGATTAATATTGTGACTTTTCAAATAAACACATTGAATATTGAAGAGATACATGTTTACAATTGATTAAAATTGAGTTAAAAAACGATAAGAAGCTAAGAATAAACTGGGATAAATGTGGCAAAAAGCTACGTCAACAGACAAAAATATTTGCGTCTCCAAACTGATGTCAATTCAAAAAAAAGAGCCAATAAAAGCAAAGAAAACAGAATTCTAATAAATGTGAGAACTTCAGATACAAGTCATGGAATACTCGTAAGAGATATAACTGGAATTAGTTAAACAAAGAACAGTAGAAATATAGACGAAAATTTTCTTGAAAAGAGTTCTTTCAACTTGAAAACCGCTTTTATCTAAAACCAAATAAAATTCACATTTTTAAATTGTAATTAGAAATGGATCCTTTCAATTTTCTTTCTTCTCTTCGTTACTTTCTCACGACTTCACATATGAAGAGTAAATAAGTATAAAATGGCATATTTACCGATACCTTTTCACTTTTGTCCATGCAAACAATATTGCAAACTATAAAGAATGTATGTATTTTGAACAGTCCAATTTATGGCGAGCAATAATAAATTCATGATCATTGATTTGATCGTAACATTTTTTTCTTTTCCATGAAGCATGTTTGAATTGCCCATTGACTCATTGATCGTTATAAGCTTAAAGTAAACATAAAACACGTGATTGGATTTGGCATTTCCTTTTCTTCTTGTTTTGCTATCAACAAATCTGTTTACGGTAGTTGTTGAAACATCAAGATTTTTGTGTGTCTGTGTGCAGTTTTTTTTCTCTCTTCTCATTCATTGAATGAGTTAATCTCGTAAATATTATCATTACATTAAATTGTTTGTTTCATTGCACAGAAGAATATGCTTGCTAACACAAGACAAAGCGAGAAAGAAAGACAAACACATACAGCAAGCGGGAGAGATACATATAATCAACAATCGACTTGCGCCGTATTTGCAAACGACAGACAGTCTGGCATTGAGATCGACGTAATGAATGTGCACAGCATATAACAAGTATTTTATATGTGAGCTATGTGATAAACAAAAAATACACACACACGGGCCAACAATGCAAGCAAATGAGCGTGATTCGAATGAATTTCTACGAAGCTTTCATTTGATGGTCATGGCATTACCAATGATGGCAATGCACGCTAAAATGCGTGGAAAAATTTTCATCATGTTGTCACCGCGATTCTACCACTTCTTTTTGGGTTTATTCCTACTCTTCTTCTCTTTCGCTCATATTTTGCTTCGTAAAATGTCATCTGTTCATTGTATCGGTGTGTAGCGATTTTCGATTATCAACAGATGAAGTTGAGCAAACAATTTGGGCGCATAGAAATTCAAGAAACTTGTTAATTAAAGGTAAAATTCCGTACGGAAACTTTGACAGGTAAATTGGCCGGTTTGGTTTTCATTCTTTTATTTGTGCGTTAAATTACAAGGAACCATTTGCAACTTGTATTTGGTAAATGTTTGATGTAACCAATTGCAATAAAGTTAAAGTATCCTGGAAGAGAGAGAGAGCGAGGGAGAAAGAAATGGTTTGATATAATTCTGAATAACCAAACACATCACCATTAATTTGCGTTGATCAATTTATTGATTGTATTGAACTATTTGAACTTGATTGAATCGATGTGCGGCATCGAGGTTCAAGGGAATGTTTACTCTCAAGGAATTGTACATTCATACGTGTAAGAAAAATATAAAAACAAAACTTTCTTCAACTCTCTGTTTGACCCTGGTACCAAATTTTACAATAAGCGAATAGAAAAATAAAATAATTCGAAAATGGCGCATAGGAAAAAATAAATTATCACATTTCTTCCTTTATCAATTTCAAGGCGAACCAAATAAAAACACACTTGAAATTGTAAATAAACAAAACAAACTATTCTGAACACCGACGTGCGTATTACATAATTAACATTGTTCGGTCAACCATACAAAGAACCGGAGTTTTTTGACACACATTGAATAAAAAACGGCACGGTTTTACGCACAAAAACCTGAACGACGGTGCAGTTGAGTGTTTTTTTACGATTTTAACTGAAACATTCAACAAAAATTAAGTATAAATTTAAATGGCTTTCAATTTAACGTTCAAATGCTCATAATAATTGAATGATTAAGTGTAAACATTTGCGTGTCTACGTCAGAACAAAACAAAACAAAACAAAAAAAATATACGTGATAAAATTCAATTATCAGTTTTAATAGGCAATTATATTACGGAGATGATGAATGGTCCATGTTAAATTAAACAAAAAAACTTTTGTTAAACTTGTAAACTACATCAAATTTTCAAAAGATGGCGTGATAATCCACAATGAGCTTATAAAAATGTTGCTCACCAATCACAATCAATTAATCGAATACATTTTAATGTGTTGGCATTTGATTTTTTCGGTGAATGGCGGCAAAGAGTATGTAAAAGAAATTATAATTTTTGCACTCAACAAGTTTTATTGATAGAAATTAGTTAAATCGGTCTCTGAAATAAATTCCTCTAATATGCTCTTTATTTTATATACTGAAATTCGTTCAACATTTGTTAAAAATTTATCCTGCAATTTGGTCTTTATATCGGTTTTGTTTTCCTCTTCTCTGCTTAATTGATGGTCATTTCTATGGCTGTAAACGATCTTGGTGACGACGTTGGATATGTTTGTTAAGACTGCTTTTGGCTGGAAATTTTTTCGAACAATATTCGCACATATACTCTTTGAATCCCATGTGTGTTGTTTTTATGTGACGTTTTAAATTGTCCATGCGATATTGAGCATCATGACAAAAATGACATTCAAATTGTCGATTTTTACACGTAATCTGATGCTTAACCATGGTATTTTCATCGATAAAACCACGTCCACAATTTGAACAATGCAAATCAAAGTCTTCCGCATGTAGTTTAACGTGTTGATTTAAATGTGAAACACGTGTAAATCGTCTTTCGCATACATCACAAGCAAATGGACGTTCACCGGTGTGTTTTCGCATATGTAATTCAAGATTTCCAATGCTGAATGTCACATAAGTGCATTGTTCGCATGAATACCGTTTTGTTTTGCAATTGGTTTCGTGTTTTTTGGATGTAGCTTCGTCGGGAAAACCGCGACCGCATGAACCACAATGGAATTCATAGAGAATCGAATGGATGCTCTGGTGTCGATTGAGATCGGTTTTCTGCGCGAATTGTTTTGGACAATGTTGACATTTCCATGGCCGTTCGCCAGTGTGCGCGACCATATGTCGTTTCAAATGCGATGGTCGCTTGCATGTGAATTTACACAAACTGCATTCCACCAATTTCAATGGTTCCGATGTGGTATTGGTGACTTTTGGTTGACGTTTTTTCCGTTCTTTTCGTACTTTTGTTTCTTTTCGTTCTTTGGGTGTTTTCGGTTTTTTCGGTTCGTTCTTTGACTTTTTCGCTTTCACACCATTCGCATTTTGTGGATCTGTTTGTTGTTTTCTTTTTCGCATCGATTCCTGTGGGGCCACGGTCATATTTTGTTCACTTTCATTCGTAGTATTATGATCAAAAGCGATGAATTTCTCCTCGAAATATAATTGCTCGACGGGCGGCGGTAATTGATGTTGACGTTGCAATGACAATGGCTCTGAATGTTCTTGATATTCATCAAAATTGTTTTCACCAATTTCAATTTTTAGGGATTCAAACACTTCAGCTTCGACTTCATTCGGTGCATCAAATACATCATCATCGGAAGATTCATTCTCTGATTTTATATCAATAATAATCGGCAACGGCATATATTCCACGTATCTATCGGTTTGTGTCGATGCATCTTTTAATTTGCTTTTTACACCTTTCGACGGTCGACCAACCTTTTTTCGCATTTCTTTTAATTGCTTGGAATTGTTAAAGATATTTCTATAACTTAACGATGTTTTGTTTTTCAACTTTAAAACTAATATAAATTTAATTAATTTTTATAATTGTTTATGATGAATTTTGGTAGAAAGCAACAACATCTATCTATCACGAATCAATGACAAACCGTATTTTGTTTATTATTGTTCAATGACAGATGGTTTGACATTTTACATGGTGTTACCTAATAGGTGTTACCTTCTGTGTTACCGCAGTATTATTCCGGTAGTATAAGCTGTATTCAACTTCATTTATATGATTTTTAAACCGCTGTTATTCATACATTGAATTTGTCTCCATCTCAAACTTGATTGCGTCTCCACTTCAATTTGTCGTGAAAATATAACGAACATTTCAATTCCTTTGTTCTTACATTTATCGTTTTTCAGCAGAAATATTTTCTTCAATTCTCCAATGAATATGGTTAAACAAAATTATTGAAATGTGTTTTTACTTTTTCGTACACACCGAGTGTGTAAAGTAAACTATTGGAATCTTGCAACAAAACATGTTTTGTGGATGTTTTTTGGCCAGAGAACACGAATCAGCTGATCACGATTGAATGTTACTAGGACTACTAGTAGAAATCATTAAATTTTGATCGACTTTGGTTAATAGGATAAAATTTCATGCCTGCAGTTATGCCTTTTATGCGTACATAAACACTCAAAAATATGTATTAGTTTTGCGATATAAATAATTTTCGACACACATTTCATACAAAGTCACCAAAAATTAAGATTAAGTTTTTTCGTAAGATAATAAGATTTACAAGTTTTCACGGTGATTGACTTGCAAACATACATAAATCCGATCAATTTCGAATCAAAAAAATGCAATAAATGTATGCTCGTAGTAAAATAATCTCCATAAAACTTGTGAATCTTTTTTCTTTCATGAAGAAATTTCAATCAAAAATAAGAGTACTTCCCTTACAAAATTTCGGATTTTTGGCTCAGGGTAGACTTTTTGCACTTCGAAAAAGGGCTTTTTGCTTATGAAGCTTAGAAAAGGATTGTATAAAGAAATATATATTTTTTTATTTTTTTATTTTTTTGTGAAATTACCTTGAAAAATTAAATCGTAAATAACTACGTCGAGTATTAGATGCCATAGAAAATGCAGTTTTGTGCAGATTTGCATTCACCCACTCATATGGGTTTGAATCGATACAAAACCGGCCTGAGATATTAATCAAATGCAACGTAATAAAATAGTTGCATGTTCAAACTCATAGCAATTTTAAATGGGCTGTCACGCAAAAGCTATTCGCCAAAGTTACAAATGACGAAAACAACCAAACTGATACACAAGTGGAAAAACGCAATCCAAAAAAAACACGACCTGTTCTTCCATTGCATAAATGCATTTCATTTATTGGCTATTGACTTTTTTTTAAAAAAATAAATAAAATCGTCAAATCTTGATGTAATGATTGAACATAAATGCAAAAAATATATCTAACATGTCATTGATTTATTTGTAATTTGATTCTTTCGGTTCAGTATGGAATCCCTTTATGTTAAAGAATATTTTTTTTGAAGAGAATCTCATTTTGTGTTCTAAAATGGCAGCACACTTGAATGGACACATATTTTATCCTTGATAAGTTCCGATGTATGCGTTGCATTGAGGACAATAGTGATTTCGATTTTGGCAACTATCAGTACAGTATGGTACGCACACGCACGGCCAGCCTGAGCAAAATACGAGAAAAAAATTATTTCTATTTTCAATTTTAATGCTTGCACCTTAACAAATACTTACACAAAAATAAACATAAAAGTAATGCCAAAATATGGGTACGGGAGCTTGATTCAGTTTGAACTTTGGTCATTATACTAGCGTGACAGCTTGGACAAGTTACCCTTGATGGCTCCGGTCCGACGGCTGGAATAACTAAATAAAAATTGAAAGAAATTAGTTTTATTTCACTATGGTAAATAAAAGTAATCAATAAAATTGTTTGCACGTCGTGTGGACAGTATTTTAGGTTTCAATTGTATTTGGATAGGTAATGAATGTTATATACCTATATATTAGTGATAATAAAAGTCATATTAAAAATTATTATGTCTCTAATTATTCTATCTACTCTAGCGAAACTAATTGGATAACATGAACAATGAGTCTGTCTTTGGAAATGACAATAACATTCAGTATGTTAAATATTGACTATGCATGGTTTCAGAATTTGATCCAATTGTCAGTGTCAATTTGACATATATATGTTGAATCATTCTTATTTACTTAATAATAATTGCATTCGTTTTGTTACTTACGAAAGGTTATGCCAAGTGGAACGTAGCACCAGATGAATATGAATTGAAAAAAACAACAACATTAATCAGAATATAATTTTAATTTTGTTTTTCGATCAATAAATGACTTGAGATCGACTGAATTTTTGAATTGAAAGAACCAGACGAACACTTAATAGTCATTTAAAAATTATATATTTATTTTGACAACTGTTTTGGTGCCAAGTTTAACAAATTGAAATTCAGACCTTCTGATGATGGTGTCTATGGGTGCCAAAACAATTGTCAAAATAAATATATAATTTCTAAATGTCTATTAAGTCTTGTTCTTTCAATTCAAAATTTGAGCAAAAAAATAGTTGTGAACGGTGAAATTATGAAAAGCACTATGAATATTTTGTGTGAAAGAGTACGTAATTGATGATTTAAAGATAAATATTTTTCAATTTACAGGGTAGCCCAGATATAGATTTTTTTGCGACACAATTACCGATAAAAAAGTGATCAAATCTGGAGCGTGAATTAAAGAAGGATCTCAATTTTTCATATAACCAGTGAGCCGGGGCATTTTTATGCATTTTTATTTTGGTACTCCTGATGTTTTCTCCGTTTGTCTCAGACAATATATTGAACTAACTGGTCAGTTAAGCTGACAATACGTTGGCCAGCTAAATGGACTAAAACAATAGAAGTTATTGTTATAATGAATAATCACTTCTATAAAAACAAGAAAAGTGATTCATTGATAAAATATTCACACATTTTGCGAAAAAAAAAATTACTCCAAATATTGGAATTTTCGCCATACTTATTTTTTTATCTGATCGTCTTGAAAATTTCAGAAAGTTATTTTCTATCGGAAAAAATTTTACAAACTTCACACCTTTTTGAAAAATTATTTTACTCCAGATATTGGAACTTTTATATGGGAGTTATACATATTTTCTCTCCGATCGTCTTGACACTTTCAGGAAGTAAAGTACATTTTAGGTAAAATTATTATCAACCATAAAAGTTAAAAAAATATCACCGAGTTTTATTTTTGTCATTCTATGGCAGTATTCAGATGCTCCGAAATGTGAGCTCCAATTATTATCGAAACGAGTGTGGTACACTTTAAAATAAATTGAAGTACAGTTAAGTACATTTTAGGTACAATTATTATCAGCCATAAAAATTTAAAAAATATCTTTGAGTTTTTACAATTAAAAATAAATTGCGGTACAATTAAGTACATTTTTGGTACAATTATTTAAACCTAGTCCCAAGTTTCGACTTTCACATGTGCGGACATTTTATAAGCAAATATAAAAAATACAGTTATTCCAGGTCACCCTATATATATATATCGAAAATTCAATTATTTTGAATTTTATAAAAATATCATATAGGTATAAAAACAACATTATAATATAAATATACTGCCAATGTACTTGCAAGTAATAATTGATATATCGATGTATAAACAAGTGTAATTTGAAAAATATTTCTAACCACCAAGTCAGGTCAGCTATAAATTAACCCATTTCAATTAAAAATCGTATGATTTGAACTCGAGCCATATCGACTTTCTGTCAAAAAAACTCATGAAAGTACACAGAAAGTCGGTATTTTTCAGTGATGGTTTTTTCCTATCTGAATAGCGCTAGCTATTCGCAGC